AATATATATTTTTTTTGTCACAAAACTCTGATTTTTCTAATCACATTTTGCCAACTCTCCTTTTCCAGGGTGCTGAACATGAATCTGAAATTAGTTTTGTTTGCGATTTTTTCAATTGAAAAAAATATTTAATTAATTTTCAGCTATCTCGAAATGACGGGAATTGGTAAAATTTCATAAAAATTTGAGACTCATAAAGTAAATAATTATTAAAAATATTTTACAGTAATTCATTCATTATTTTATAATAACAACATCACGTTAACACTATGTGGGCGAACAAAATTATAAAGCTAACCCTGGAAAAATATCGTACGTACCTATTTACCTTTTATATATTCCTTTTTTTACTTACCTAAAGAAGGAAACTTTTCGCCTCTCTTCACCAACTCGATCACTTCTATTTATACAATGTTTTACAATACACTTGCCCATGATAAAACGTCTAATTATCGAAATCATAGCGATGCGTACATGTCAAATGCTAGGACACAAGTGACACAACTGAGCGCTGGGCTCCAAATCAAGCATTAGATTTTATTAATTTGCGTCGTTTTTTTTGTCGGACAAGTATTGTTTTTTAATTATTATTTTATTCTAAAGCCAAAAATATAAAAATTATCACTTTTGTAATCGGAAAACCTAACCTGTGATGAGATGGACTGGAAAAAAGCGCCTGAAAATTTGTCGGAAAAGGTATGGACTACGTTTAGACAATTTTTAGTAAGTTAAAATGAAAATTGGGTGTTTTGTAATCGGAAAACCATATCGCGCTAGAGCGACATGTTGGAGATGTCGGACTCGACAATTGCGCCCTCTATTTTGTCGGACAACCCAATTTGCTTCTTATTTAACACATTTTCTTTTAATTGAAAAAAAAAATTTGAGTGCTGTAATCACAAAAGAGAACCCGCCCAAAACGGCAGGTTTAAGTACTCGCAGTGCGGAAAAGCGCCCTTCCCATGTTCTAAAAATTTTACAGCGTGGTAGACTCGTTAAAACGAAGCGATCCAGACCGTTTTCATGACTTTTGTAATCAGTTCGAAAAAAGGTCGCTGGCTTGGGGACTAGTGGGAACTGTTCCATTTAAAAATATGGATATTTTTAGGAGCAGCATTTGCAGCGACGCGCCGCGCTGCTGCGGCACTGCTATGTGGGAATTGGCCCTAATGATGCGTAAAGATTGACAATCTCCTCGCGGTACGAATTCGTTGGAAACGTACGGATAACTTCAAAATAGTCAAACAAAAATCGTAACTTGTTTTTTTTAATTGGTTGTTAGAATATGTACTTTACGACACAAATAATCAAAAATAACACATGGACCATGTGTTATTTTTGAAAAAAAAATAGGAGCGATCCATTTAACGCGTCAAGCAATCAAGAAAAAAAGTCTTGGGTTTTTGTTGCGTAGTGTATTTTAAAGGTAGCTAATTGAAACAAATTCAAACATTTTTTCTAAAAAATCTTATCAAATGGCGTCAAACAATTTTCCTATTTGTTTGAATTTGCAGTAAAGTAAAAATTCCAGAGCTAATAATAAAATATATGTTTTTTTAAATTAAAACATTAGGTATTAATTACTAGCCGCATGTATCGGGAACCAATTGTATTATTTTAAAATGCGTTAATATATAGGTATGTAATGTAATTCTTGATTGATTTTTGTAGAAACAATTTGGGTCTTCCCTTAAGAAAATAAGCTCAAATATTGCGACAGCCTGTACATTAAGCATAGTTATGCAATTTAATTGTCTGAAGTAACCAAAGATAAAAGAAGGATATTAAACAAAGTGATAACTAAATCTCTCAATGTGTACTAAAGCTTCTGTTTTTTTTCTTATATTAGTAGCAAAAGGTTTCAGCGGTTTTAGTCGTCATTATGGTTTAATTATAAATATTAATATTAATTATTAAAAATCGCGAAATTCCCGAAAAGAAATGGAGACTGATTTCAGCAACGAAAAATATTACAACAAACTTAAAGAAGTTGTATACATTCCTCCTAGTGAAGAAGACAATAAACCACAACTTTTACAATTGGAAAACAATAATAAATATAAGGACAGTTATTTTCTATATTTATCTGCTTTTACAGGTAAGTTTACCACGAAAATTAACATTTTTGTAATTGTTATTGAATAACGACAGAGTAAAAGTGAAACCAGTATTCATTAACATCTAATTTTTCTTTTAATCTTGTAGGCACTGCAATATACAATAAAGTATTGGTGCAGTTAAGCTTTTTAGAAAATATTTTCGGGTATAGCATTTTTAATGCCTGTCAAAATTGAGAACAATGAATTTAAATTTAGTTCCTAACTAAATCTCGTTTCATTATGTGCTTTTCAATTTCATTGAATTTTTTGTGAAAAGGCCTTGTCGTCTCGATGTATTTGAAATACTTTTGCTTACATTTCCTATTGTTTTTGAACTACCTAGGAGAAACCTTTCTTATTACCTTATTTTAACTTTCTTCAAATTGCGTGATACTCATACTTATTTCTTGGGCTTCCTGTTTTTCTATTTTTTCTGTAACTGATCCTAAAGATTCATAAGCATTTTTTTGTACTTGTTATATGGAAAAGTTACTGAATATTCCATATTTTTACATGTCTATTGGTATTACAAAGCACTGCCTGATTTACCTATAGGCTGGTGTAGGCTGCAGCATACAGGCCCCCACCAACTAGGGGCCCCCACTATGTTAACAATTTTTTTTTATAAAAACTAATTTTTTTTAAGATTTTTTTAAGACCTCCCCATCTTGAACAAGAAAGAAAAATCTTGAGTCTCTAGGGAAAGTGGGTTAAAATTTATTTTTATTTTTATTTAATTCAATTTTTTTTGGGGGGCCTACCAAAAAGGATATTTTTTTTTCTAAAATAGACCCCCACCAATTTTCAGCCTACAGGCCCCCACCACTGTAAATCAGGCATTGTTACAAAGAGAAGTTCGGTTTATCATCTATGATAAATCAGCAGTTACAAATAAAAATTGAGATTTGATGGAATGTAGTAACGTAATTCCGACTATTCGTAATTCGAAAGGAAGGATATCAGGGTTGTTGTTCGAATTCCGAATCTGCACTTTTTTTTGTCGCGTCAGTCTCTTCATTGTAATGTCAGCCTGTAGGAATGGTATGTTTTTTACGTGATGGTAACAGATAAAATATGTTCAAATTTGTATGTGTTTTGATTGATTGACATCCTGTACATTTTTAATTTTGATATATCTAAAATTAGTTTTTCCGTAATATGTATTTCGATGGTTTGCTTGTGCTCGCTAATCTGAAAATTTATTGGTTGAACCTCGTTGTCAATTTTCATTTCTTTTAATTCCAGATGACCTAAATTAAGATCAATAGGTTTCTGTTTTATGAAATTTAGCCAAGTCTTTAGTGAGATTTAGTGCACATTCGATACCCTTGTTCGAGACTATGTTTTCGAGAATTTTGTAAGGTGACACAAATATATGTCCTGAAACGGAAAAAGACTCCCACATATAGTTAGAGAAATAAGCAATAATATTTTTTTCAATCGCATTTTTCATTAACAAATTAATGGTTTTTCAAACCTAATTACATCATTCGATTTCTCGGAAAATTTTACCCCAGTTTTGATATACATATAGGGTGTCCGCAAATTTCACCGACAACGTTTGACTGCATATTCACGACTATAAATAAATACGATCTACGAAAAAAAAAACCATAAATAAAAACTTTTTGGTTTTTGAGTTACAGGCCTTCAAAGTTGTCAAAAATAAAACTAATTTAATTAATAACTTCATAACCCTTTTACCGATCGCGTTAAAAAATATATTGTCGCTTGAGAAAAACGCCTACAGAAGGCCATTGAGAAAAATGGCATTATTTGCAGGTCTGTACGTTTTGGTCTGCATAGAAGTGTCACGAATTTAAAATTTTGAGTTCAGTAGGCGATGAAAACAAGATGTTGATTTTGATTGCTTTGGCTATCAGGTAATGTCATTATTGTCGTGTTTCTTTAGGATTCTCATCACTCCACACATGCAAATTATGAAAATTTATAACTCCGTTCTTTGTAAAGCAAGATTTGTCGGTACAAAACAATTTAAGCAAATTATTATCTTCTGCGAAGCCATACACCAATCAGCGGCAAAATTGTAAACGTGCGTAGGAATCTAAATTTTCAAGTTATTGAGCAGGAGTTAAATAAATTGGCCGAAGAAGTTGCTTTTTTAAAGTTTTGTGAACATTAGTTCTACGTACATTTAACTGTCTTGATACACTGCGGACTGCATAATTTGCATATACGCTGTTTTCGTTAACAAATAAAGAAGATATCAGTTCGCACTAGTGTGACCTTTAAGGTGGCCCACCCCAAATGTGACCTTTGAGGGTTAATTGTACTTTCACTGATTAGTTAGATTGCCGGTCTACTACGAAGCCGTAGAAGGACCATGTCTAAAAATTATTTTAAATTCATACTTTAAACTCTGAATTTAGAATTTAAACTCTGAATTCAGACTTTAAACTCTGAATGCAGGTTTTAATCTCTGAATTATTAACTTTCGTTCCAATACAAGAATATTCCATTAGTTTCAAGTGGAAGTTCAGCTGTACAGTTTGACTACAACCAAAATTCCTCTAAGATTCTTCTAATGGATTCTGGAAGGTGCTGAATTCAGAAAATAATAACAATTTTCAGTCAAAACCTAAACTTCCCTCAAGGGATACATTGATCTTTGGATAAAGTATATTATACATCTTCGGGATCATTAAAACTATGCGACATTATTTTGGCATTAGGGGCACCCCTGACCAGCTTATCTTGACAATTACTTTAAATAAACTAAAATATATTGTGCACGTCTCTTATTTAAAATTGATCGTTAAATATACAAAACTTTCTCAGGCCAAATCAAAATAAATGTCACATAGTTTTAATTATTCTGAAAAGGTATGCACTCCACCTATGAATCAGTTCCCTTCAGTTTTTTAAATTATGAACGAAAAATATATATTTTTCTTTATTTAAAACTAACTCAATGTGCGTATCTGTTGGAGAATATTTTTATAAGAATTTTAGTCATATCTTGACCAAACCTGCCCAGTTAAATATGCAAAACTTTCTCAAGCTAGATCAAAATAAATGTCACATAGTTTTAATGATTCTGAAAAGGTAGGCACCCCACATATGAATCAGTTCCCTTCAGTCTTTTAAATTATGGACGAAAAATATTAATTTTTTTTAATTAAAACTAACTCATTGTGCGTATCTGTTGGAGAATATTTTGATAAGAATTTTACTCATATCTTGACCGAACCTGCCCAGTTAATACGCTTACACTGTGACACCCTATAGATGTCACGATATAAGTGTACTTATATCGTTTTGCTACTCAATGCTTTAAATTCAGACTAGTCTGAATTCAGAGCATAAAGTTTAAAAAATTTTTGACATGGCCCTTCTACGGTTTCATACCGGTCAGATCGTTGTATTGTTTAGGTTTATTAAGGATACTTATATGTACAATAAGGCCAGTGCCATACTTTTAACTGCTTACGTGTGTTTATACAATATTAAAATATTTCTGTTTTAATAAACACTATACTATATTTCACTGAAAACGAAAACTGAAAGCTCTTTCAAATTCTTAAAAGGGAAATTGCTTTTTAGAAAAGCTGTAAACTAAATAATGAATATCAATTACCAAAAAGTATCGCTAGTAGCATTATACATTTCATGTGGGTGTTTTATTTTATATTGTCTTATTCCTCTCTGATAATAAAAGAAAGAACACTTACCTGTTTAATATATTTTGAGTTAATACCAAATATTGTTACAGCTGATTTGGTAGCATTCGCCACTGGCTGCCACATGGCATGGTGCTCTCCAGCTCTAGCAAAATTGCAGGAAACTGATCCAAATGTAAATCCTCTAGGAGAGGCTGTATCGTCAATACAAGAATCATGGATAGCCTCTTTAGTGAGCTTAGGTGCCGCCGTGGGACCTTTATTTATTGGAAAATTAGCCGATAATCTTGGAAGGAAGAAAACCTTAATTTTGTTATCCTTACCTATGCTCGTAGCTTTCATTACATTAGCATTTTCTAATAATATTACTCTCTTCTACGTTGCACGGTTTGTTGGGGGTTTAGGTGTGGGTAGTTCATTTGCAATTTTACCCATGTATTTAGGGGAGATCACAGAAAACCACAACAGAGGGAAATTCGGGTGCATAATGGCCGTATTTATCACTCTCGGAATTTTATATCCATTTGTAGTTGGTCCTCTCGTGTCCCTCAGACTTTTTTCCTTTTCATGTGCTATACCTCTTATGCTGTTTTTGATATTTTTCTCTTTGTTTATTCCTGAGTCGCCTATTTTTTTGATATCCAATAATTGCTCAGAAGAGGCAAAGGAAGCTTTAATGAAGTTAAGAAGTAAAAGTAGCAGTCAAGTAGAAAATGAGCTTTCAGCAATTGCTAAAGAAATAGAAAAAGATAAAGATAAAAAAGGTGGAATAGGAGATCTTCTTATAGTACCCAATTTGAGGAGAGGATTTACTGTAAGCGTTGGGTTGGTAGCTTTACAACAATTTGCTGGAATAAACGCCGTTCAGAGCTTTATGGGACAAATATTTGATGCATCAGGTAGTGAAATGTCAACATATATGTCTACCAATTTAGTTGGTGTTATTCAAGTCGTAGCAACTTTTTTAACTTCTGTCACTGTAGAAAAATTGGGACGCAAATTTTTACTTTTAGTATCTTCTATAGGATCTTGCGCGGCTATTTTAATACTTGGTTTATATTTTTATTTAAAGAAAAGTGAAATCTACAATGTTGACAGCTTGTTTTGGTTGCCGGTTGTTTCTTTAATGATCTACATTGTGTGTTTCAATGTGGGACTAGGACCTTTACCGTGGGCTATCATGGGAGAAATTTTTCCACCTAACGTTAAATCCGTAGCTTCAGCTTTGACGGCATTCTTCTGTTTTTTTACATCATTTGGAGTTACTTTAGGCTTTCCAATCTTAGCTAACCATTTAGGTATGGCAGAATGTTTTTGGATGTTTGGGGTTTGCTGTATTTTAGGAAGTTTTTTTGTTTATTTTGTTGTTCCGGAGACAAAAGGAAAAACGTTGTCAGAAATTCAACAGTTGTTAAGCAAAAACTAGGCCTGAAATGGATTTATATTTTTTATTTGTGTAATTTGTTTGTAATTTGTTTTATAAAGAAATTATTTTAAAAACAAATGTTGTAATCATTTGTTACATAAACTAAGGAAACTTACTTATTTTCAAATAAGTGGAGAAGAAACGGGTCTAAGCTGGGCAGAATGTGATTCCTACCCATTCACGACTTAGAAGCACTCCACTTCAAGCCTTGCAAACAAGTAATTAGGGCTTGATAAACGAATTACTTCATAAATACACTTTGTAATAAAAAAAGGGCTTCAAGCTATTTCAAGGGACTTGCAGGTAATCGAAGCCCTTTCAAAGACAAAAAAAATGTTGAATCCTGAATATTAAAACACGTCAACACTTCAATACGTGTCGCAAATGTCACATGCGTTGACTGACTGATGAACTAAGTATACAGTGTAGCGATGGTCTATCAGAAGTTACGTGAGAGCGATAAAATACGCCATAAAAATCCATGTAATAGACAAGGATTGCTATAATGAAGGCGTCTAATAGTCACCGCCCGTTTCGCCCTTCCACAAATAAGATCCACTTCTTATTTGTGGAAGGGCGAAATGGGCGTTGACTATTAGAGGCCTTCATTATAGCCATCCTTCTCTATCGCATGGATTTCTATGGCTTACTTTATCGCTCTCACGTAACTTCAGATAGACCATCGGTACTTTCCTACCCTGTATTTGCTTCTGTTAAAGGCTAATTAAAGGCTAACACAAGTCACTTGAAAATCTTGGGATGTTAGATTAATTTGTCTAATTTAATAATTATAATTTATTTTTCACTATTTAAATCTTGAACGATATCATTTTGCTAAACACGCTATTTTTTTTATTATTATCTATTAGTTTTTTTCAAATAAACATTTAAAGACCGCAAGGACCACTTGTATTTTGTATTTCTCATGCGAGAAATTTTTCCATGAAAAATTGAAAAAGATTTATTTTTATCAGTTGTCACAGTCATACCAGTCATACACGGTGGGCCACCAGCAACGCCTCGATCGCTAGGGACCAAATGTCAAATGTTATAGAAACCTGTTTAGGTGGTTTAGTTGGTTATGGCTACATTTTAAAAATATTTTGAAATATACAGGGTGTCCAGGAAAAGCGTACTATATCAAGGTTGCGTATTTTTAAATGGAACATCCTGTATTTTACTGCATATTTGAAAGCTCCGTAAAATAATAGGTGAACTTTATTAAAGGCTCTGACTTATTGTTTGTGAGATATTTCAATTTTAGTGAAAATGCAGGCTTAGCGTAGAAATAGCAATAAAAAAATAATTTAATAATAATAACAAGGTGTCCAGGAAAAGCGTACCATATCAAAGTTATGTATTTTTAAACGTAACACCCTGTATTTTATTGCATTTTTGAAAGCACCGTAAAAAAATAAGTGAACTTTATTAAAGGTAATGCATACCTAGGACTTGTTTGTGAGATATTTCAATTTTAATGAAAATGAAGGCTTACCGTATGTCCTGGCCTTGAAGTCCAGTATTTCCTGTGTTCTGTCTCAGTTTTAATTTCCACAAATGCCTTTGTGCCCTGGCACCCAACACAGTCTGATTGTATTGTTGGTGGCCAGTTCAGTAAGCACTTGTAAACAATCCCACACCAGTTTTGAACTTACCTTGTGATGTATAGGTTACCTATACCTATCTTTAACGATATTGAAGATACTTATTTGTGCCGTTTCGTTTATCATCGAATTTTTTTGTAAGATGTATCCACGTGTGTTTATCGAGGTCTTTATTGAATTGGTTTGGGTTCTTCTTGAAGACATGTCTTTAAATATAAGGAGAAAAATGTGGATACAATTAGATGGCGCACCTGCACATTTTTCATATTCAGTGAGAAATTATTTAAATCGAAGTTTTAGTAATAAATGGGTAGGTAGGAATGGTGCATGTCAGTGGCCACCTAGGTGTCCAGACCTCACCGTAATGGACTTCTTTATTTCGGGCTATATAAAAAATCTTGTACACAGTGTTCCACCTACTACTTGTGATGATATGAAGGGAAGGATTACAGATGCATTTACTACATTCACCTCAAATATTCTAAGGAATGTGGGAATCTCATTTGAAGATAGAATAAAATGCTGTATCCAAGAGAATGGTTATCAATTCGAATATCTATTAAAATGTTTCTTCTAAAAGTAAAATTTTCTTTAAATGTTGTTCATAATTAATTTAATTCAGTTACGTACAACAAACATTATTTATACAAAATTAATAACTTTTTACAATTTTCTGCTTATAAAATTATATTTTTTATTAGAGAATTTTCTTGAATATTGTCATGATTGACGCTTTACCAATTCCATAAAAAACTTCGATAAAGACACGTGGATACAGCTTATAAAAAAAAAGTCGATAAAAAACGAAACGGCAGAAATATCTTCAATACCGTAAGACCTCTTTTATGCACGCGTTTTTCTCCTCTCAACGCGGAGTTTACAAAAACGCCGCGTTTCAAGATACCCTGAATCGAGTTACTACGTTTATGCATTTTACGCTCGTTTATTTGCTCTCGCGTTTTCAATTCTGTCGCGATGGCTTTACAGAACGTTTGGCGACACGCGTTCCGAAAAAGCACGAAAGTATATCGCCGTTTTTATGCAAAGCGAGCAGTGGCTCTGTCTGTCAAGAATAGTTTTAGCACAGTTTGTTTTAGTTTTAGTTTAGCTGTTGATCAAGCGGGACATGGATGCAATGGACGCAATTGAATTCTATTTCTATTAATTGGATGTACTGTCCATCGCCTCTTACGTTTTCTATTACATATTTTTTTATAGCACAAATACAATATACACGGATCCATTTTCATGTACTTCACTGACTACTGTGTGGCATGAAACTGGCTACAATTGATAGAATACGCGTGCATAAAATGGAGCAGAAATATACCGCGTTTTTCTCAATTTCGCGTTGAGAGGAGAAAAACGCGTGCATAAAAGAGGTCTAAGACCCCTTTTATGCACGCGTTTTTCTCCTCTCAACGCGGAGTTGACAAAAACGCCGCGTTTCAAGATACCCTGAACAGAGTTACTACGTTTATGCATTTTACGCTCGTTTATTTGCTCTCGCGTTTTCAATTCTGTCGCGATGGCTTTACAGAACGTTTGGCGACACGCGTTCCGAAAAAGCACGAAAGTATATCGCCGTTTTTATGCAAAGCGAGCAGTGGCTCTGTCTGTCAAGAATAGTTTTAGCACAGTTTGTTTTAGTTTTAGTTTAGCTGTTGATTAAGCGGGACTTGTATGGAATGGACGCAATTGAATTCTATTTCTATTAATTGGATGTACTGCCCAACGCCTCTTACGTCTTCTATTACATATTTTTTTATAGCACAAATACAATATACACGGATCCATTTTCATGTACTTGACTGACTACTGTGTGGCATGAAACTGGCGACAACTGATAGAATACGCGTGCATAAAATGGAGTAGAAATATGCCGCGTTTTTCTCCACTCAACGCGAAATAAACGAGCGTAAAATGCATAAACGTAGTAACTCTGTTCAGGGTACCTTGAAACGCGCCGTTTTTGTCAATTCCTCGTTGAGAGGAGAAAAACGCGTGCATAAAAGGGGTCTTAAACCTCTTTTATGCACGCGTTTTTCTCCTCTCAACACGAAATTGAGAAAAACGCGGTATATTTCTGCTCCATTTTATGCACGCGTATTCTATCAGTTGTCGCCAGTTTCATGCCACACAGTAGTCAGTGAAGTACATGAAAATGGATCCGTGTATATTGTATTTGTGCTATAAAAAAATATGTAATAGAAAACGTAAGAGGCGTTGGGCAGTACATCCAATTAATAGAAATAGAATTCAATTGCGTCCATTGCATCCATGTCCCGCTTGATCAATAGCTAAACTAAAACTAAAACAAACTGTGCTAAAACTATTCTTGACAGACAGAGCCACTGGACTTGCGACAAAGAGCGCTTTGCATAAAAACGCCGATATACTTTCGTGCTTTTTCGGAACGCGTGTCGCCAAGCGTTTTGTAAAGCCATCGCGACAGAATTGAAAACGCGAGAGCAAATAAACGAGCGTAAAATGCATAATCGTAGTAACTCTGTTCAGGGTATCTTGAAACGCGGCGTTTTTGTAAACTCCGCGTTGAGAGGAGAAAAACGCGTGCATAAAAGAGGTCTTAGAGATAGGTACGGGGACCCTACACAATTTGAAAGAGTCATAGTCCTTTTAAATTTCCTAACTTCCAAAGTAAAAATATACTGGGTGTCCCATTGAAAACAACCAAGTTGCGAAAAGTATCCAGCAGTTTTTTGAACACCCTGTACAATACTAAGTGACGATAAATATAATAATTCATAACTTTAAAGATCTAACTCTCTCCAAAGCTGCTTCATTCAAATTATTTTTTTATTGCTATTTCTACGCTAAGCCTGCATTTTCACTAAAATTGAAATATCTCACAAACAATAAGTCAGAGCCTTTAATAAAGTTCACCTATTATTTTACGGAGCTTTCAAATATGCAGTAAAATACTGGATGTTCCATTTAAAAATACGCAACCTTGATATAGTACGCTTTTCCTGGACACCCTGTATATTTCAAAATATTTTTAAAATGTAACCATAATCAACCTACACATACCCACCTAAACAAGTTTCTATAACATTTACCGTTTAGTCCCTAACGGCCGAGACGTTACTGGTGGCCCACCTTGTATACAGTGTTTCGCATAAGAACCAACAAGAGCAAAGGCATGTAGGGGAACCTAAAATATGGTAATTTAACGCAACTTACCTTTATACTAAGCTGCACCCCGAGAAGTTATAGTAGACTAGGCGGTATCTGTTTTGGTTTGGGTGAATCGTATATCCACGGAGATTTTTGGCGTCTTGGCTTTCAAATATTACTAGAAATTAAAATTTTTCTATGCGCATAAAAAAAACGTGGGCTTAACTTTTGGCGGCACAATATGTTAAAAAAATTCGAAAAATGTCATGTTTTTCTTCCTATTTAATTACGTATCTTTTCAAGAGTTGATTTTAGGCGAAAATGGAAGAGGAAAAA